AATAAAAACTTTAGAATCAGCTGTGGGGCAGAGTTTGCACTGAAGTGGATTGAGGGAAAAATTGAGCTTGCGTGTCATGTGCCTGTCTGTCAATGGGAGGAAGCTCCCACCTATTAGCTATTTTGGAGCTCCCACCCCGTTTTGGAGTTCCCGCCCCCATTTGGAGATCTCCAGCAAAGAAAGAAGGCGGTTTCAGTAACCGCAGTTAGAGTTGAAGCAGCCATGTCAGGAAGACGCTGTGTGTTTCTAGGCGAAAGCAAAAGCACTTTATTTGGCCTTCCGAAAGTAGATGCATTTAGGAATCTTTAAGATGACTTACAACAGAACAGCAATGCATTTTATGCAGAGGCGGACAGTAACTACGTACATTTACTTGAGTACTGTACTTAAGTACACTTTTTGAGTATCTGTACTAGGGCTGTAATACTCGAGTCCGGTCTTGGTCTCTTTTTTCTCCTTCAAAACAAAACCACATTTGCATGTCGCGCCTGAAAACGCGTGGAAAACGCTAGGCGCGCCGCTTTCTCCTTCTTTCCAAAGCCCTCTGTAGCCTGCGCTCTATCCAAGTAGATATAACTGCAGACCGGAGATCTCCAAAATGGGGCGTGAACTCCAAAAGTGGGCAGAACCTCCAAAATGGGGCGGGGTCTCCTCACCGCAAGGACTTTCACCATTGGCTGTGGCTCCAGCCAATTGTTATTGACTTGCATTTCAAAATAAAACTTTATAAATTGAACATTGTTTCTAGTTAATCTAAAATAAAATATGCTATATAAATAAATATTCTCCGTGAGAGCAAAGCCCAAAGCTCGTGGCCAGTGTTGTTCAGACTGGAGTTTGAACCTTTGCTTAATGATATAAACGGGAATCACCCACGAGCTCTCCCGCAAGCCGTCCCAGGGCAGCTCAGGGGAAAGATTTTACTCTATTGCTTTGTTCTAAGCAACGGGGGCATCCTGGGGCACGAAATTCACAGGGAAGGAGGGGGTGACGCTGGGTGTAACTAAAAAGGTGCCATTGTCCGGTGAGGTCCGGTTGGGGAGTTACGGAACGATCTCATATCACATAATCTTATTAACTGTTTATCTCCTGAACTGCATCTTTCTTTACCACGCTATTCAGCACCAATCCCGCCGTACAGTCAAGTTCACTGGTTAAGGTTAGGGTCAGGTGTGGGTTAGGCTTAGGGGGTTAGCATTTATTGTAGCATAGTGTAGGAAATCAACACTTTAATTGACACAACCAATAAAAACTTTAGAATCAGCTGTGGGGCAGAGTTTGCACTGAAGTGGATTGAGGGAAAAATTGAGCTTGCGTGTCATGTGCCTGTCTGTCAATGGGAGGAAGCTCCCACCTATTAGCTATTTTGGAGCTCCCACCCCGTTTTGGAGTTCCCGCCCCCATTTGGAGATCTCCAGGCTGCAGTTATACCCTTCTCGCTCTATGCGTGCGCTCCCGTGGCGTCTGCCGTTGCTAAGCAACTATGACCTGCGCTCTCGACGCGGAAGTTTCAGCAAAGGATAAATGGATTTGCAGCACTAAAAATCCCTTGCAGTAGCTCTACTACTAAATTTATTTTAAAAAATGGCTATCCTTGTTCAGCTATGATCAGCTGTTTCTCCGTCTTGGCTTAGCTTTCAATTTTGTTACGGGAAAGGAAGAAGCTGATTCTTGTCACATGACCGCGGTGCACTTGCTGTGTTTTGAAAAGTTTAGATGTTTCTAATTTAATTTTCTACCTGTTAGATTGTGTTTTATTAACGTCTACACCTACTTCTACAGCATTTATTAATATTAGTTAACTTTAATTTCAGCATTCACTAATGCATTATTCAAATGACAAGTTGTGTTTGTTAACATTAATGCACTGTGAACTAACATGAACAAACAATGAATGAACAACTGTATTTTTATTAAATAATGTTAACAAAGACAAAAATAAATAGTGTAATAAATATATTGTTAATTGTTTGTTCATGTTAGTTAATACATTAACTAATGTTAACAAATGACACCTTATTGTAAAGTGTTTCCGACTCTTTTTATGAGGTTAGAAATAGGGCTGAAAGATGAATCGTATTTTCATTGTCATTGCAGTATGAACATGTTATTTAGCAATGGGCACCGAAACGTGCTATGAAATAGCAGAGTTGGTGGATTTAGGCGCCAGAGTGCAGAATTCAGCACTCAACAAAACTCTGG